GAGTAGCATACGGTAAGCTTCCATACCGTTTTCCTCAGCTACATGCTTTACAACTCGGTACGGCCTTCCTTTAGTGTATGAACAAAGAACACTGTACAGGCGTCGGCTTGTTTCCTTTGCTTCTGCAGACATCTCAGCCATCTTCACTTGTTTATCATCTTTTAGGTTCCTTTCTGCGATGTCCATGATCTTCACCATGTTGGAATCCACTGCTCCAAGCCAGATCCGCATCCTGTTCCTGAACTCTGTACATCCACTCTTCTCTTCTTGCCATGTTCCTGGGGAAAATGCTTCGGGGCTTTTAATCAGCTTGTGCAACTCCACTTCTCCAGGCTTTCTTTGTTCCTTTACTGCTTTCTCCAGAGATACTCCTATCTCCTCAAGTGTCGTTGCTGCGTTCGTGTGAGCGTCTGCCAACGCTGTTTGCGCTGTCTTCTGCTGTTCCTGAACTGCTGTCAGGGTTTCCTGGAATGCTTGTGTAAGTCCTGCTTCTCTTTGACTTCCTGAAGCTGCTGAGTTCCTGATCTCCTCTGCTAGTGTTTGTATTCCTTGTAAGGTCTGTGCATTGATATCGGCAAGTGCCTTCAATGCATCCTCCATTCCTTTTGCTGTTTCAAGGTTGCTGTACACTAGTGCTGCTAAAAGTAGCGACTTGCACTGTTTCCTGCACACTGCTTGTGCTCTCCTTTCTCCTCTTGTCTTCCTTTGGTGCTTTGAGCAGTTGCTTGCTCTTGCGGAAAACACACTAGAATAGTACGACAGGGTGATCCAAGTAATCAGTCCCATTGGGGTTCCTAAGAACACTGCTATGCGAATTCCTTGAAATACAACTCTGTTTGAAATGACTTCCTGAACTATCACATGCACGACGTCGTGAAACTTCTTTCCTACAGTTGCTAGCTTTTCTACGAAACTGTGAATATGTTCCTGTACAAATTTCCTCAGTACTTCTCGCTGTTGTTTTACTAGGTACCTAGGGGCGTAGCCTGACTCAAGGCTCTCACTCTCCTGGTTCTCGGTGTTCTGGTTGCCGTTCCTGTTCTCTTCCGTGTAGTACTCGCCGGCCACGCTAACGACGCTGTAGAGCTCGTTCATCACTTGGTTCATGCACAACAAAGCATACGGTACCATGACTTTTCCTATCTCCACATAGTCCTTAATCGTGTACGCGTTCGTGTTCCTGATCGTGTTCACGTTGGTGCCGTCGGGGTTCACGCTGCACTCGTTGTGGCCTTGCTGGTAGTACTCGCCGTACACGTCATAGTTCCTGTAGCGGTTCCGGTGCGTATTGGGGTGCGTATTGGGCTTCCTTCTGCTCGACCACACTGCCATGAGCTCGCTCTCGTCACTCTCAACGTACGGTAGTTCCTTTCTCCCACGGCTCGCTTCCTTGGAGGGTAAGGCGTCTCCAAGGGCAAGTTCTTCCTTGGTCTCCACTTTGTTGCCAAGGGCCTGCCACGGTCTCACCGCCATACTTCCTGCTCCTGGGACCAAGATCATCCAGCACAAAGTTGCGAGGCTTCCCAGTGCGAAACCAACCAGCAGCACCATGCATGCTGCCAAACCGTAGCACTTCATGTTCCTTTTCTCTTTCTCTTCCACCAACACTCGGTCGGGGTAGCAATCGCTGCAAGCGTCAAAGTCTCGCGCGCTTCCTGCTGTCACGTTGTGGTTGCGAAGGTGTCCACAACCTCTGCGGTGGTACTTTGTTCCTGAACGGACTGCGATCCTGAGCGTGGGCATGTTGAGCACTGTCTCCGTCTTCTTGGTGATCTGCTCATTTGCGCGCATCTGCTTCCATCCGGCAACGAGGCAAACTGCCATGGCGCCGAGCATCATGGTTCCTATGGCTACGAGTAGCATCATCGCAGCCAAGGAGGTTCCTGGAGGCAGCTCCGCTACCATGTTAAAGAACGGGCTTCACTAAGGGTTCCTACCCACAAAGACTGTCGGACACTTCTTTTGTTCCTGGTCACGGTGTGTCCTGGGGTCTTGAGCCTGCACGTCGCGTGTGCGTGACGGCTGTTCCTGTACATTAACTGTACTGCACTAGCTGTGTTACTGTTCCTGGCAGAATGTTTAACACTCCTTCCCAAATGTCTGAAATCACCGGGCCGATGGGCCGAAAGCAAAGCTGAAGCCGCCGCGGCCCACTTCCCCCATCTGGGGCGGGCGGGCGGGAGTCTCGAAATTGAGATGTCAATAAATTAATATCAATCTGACCTGACACAAGCGAGGGCCTGAAGCAACAAAAGGCAAGAAGCAGGGTGCATGCTACGTGGACTAGGGTTGAGGGTTTGCTGTATGCGCTGGCCATTGTCCCAACCTACCCCAGCGCAGACAGACCCGTCAGCTCGTCAAAGATCTCCATGTCCTGGTATCTGAAGACGGATGCCAACTTCTTAACAACCGGAACTTTCACAGAACACGTGTCGTCTTTGGCAGCGTAGGCTTTCTTCACGTGCGGCTTGAGACTGAAGTACCACTGCTGAATCTCGTCATCGAGGTCGGCGACAAGCTGCTCGACTTCGGCGGCCGCAAACGCCGCAGCGTGCACACAGCGCACTCGGCGCTCCCTTGCGCTCTACACAGGTGCCAAGTGCCCGATGCACCCACCCGAGCGCTGCATGTAACGACATGCACAACCCTGTGCAAACCTTGCACTGCGCTCTCCAAAGGTGCCAAGTGCCCGACGCACCCACCCCGAGCACTGCATGTAACGACATGCACAACTACGCAAGACCCTGCGTAGACTTACGCCGCATCGCACTGCTTCACTGTTCCAAGTGCCCGAAGCACCCACACCAGCACAGCATGAACGACATGCAGAGCCCCTATAAGCACACTTGTCACTCCAAGCTGAGGCCCAAGCCATACCGCATGTTAAACTGCACACGAGCCTCGGCGCGCCGGCCCAGACTCAAGCGAGCGTTGGCTCAGCAATACTCACACAATTGCTAGGGCCGGGGAGCAAGCCATACTTTAATGGACCGGGTTTTAGCTAGTGACTTATAGGGGTTATGGAGGTTAGTAAATAGTAAAGGGTTGTCAAGTGGTTATCATAAATGGTTACATAAGTGGCTATGGAAGAGTTTATGTAAAGGGTTATGTAGAGGGTTATAGTGGTTATGATCTAGGCTTTAAGCCAACAATATTTGGTATGTGCACTATAGAATTTCGGAGGTGCACCTTATGATTTTCTTAAGATTCATGTCCTACCAAACCAAAATTCGTGTAGAATGGAGTTTGTTCCCGCTGCACGGCAGCTTCTGCAGCGCGCGAGAACCTGCTCAACATGATTTTACCCTGCATCCTGGCTGACAGGTTGCTTGGTTGCTTCAGAACATGCGCAAGCACCTTCCATGGGAGGTATACAACGTCGTTGTTGCAACATCGACTTAGCCCGAAGCCTGGCTGACAGGTTGTTTGGTTGACTCTTTACCCCAATCCTGGCGGGACAACAACTTTACCCCAATCGTGGCTGCCAGGTTTGGTTGCTGCAGGCGCAGCGCAAGATGCCCCAAGCCAGGCGAACAGGTTGCTTCAGAACAGTGCAAGCACGTCCCAGCAACGACTTATATGTACCCCTGCCTGACAGGTTGATTGCATGGTTGCTTCAGAACAGCACAAGCACCTCCCAGCAACGATTTTATTATACCCCATCCAAGTGCACTTCCCAAGAAGGATTTCATCACGCGTGATGCACTTGAGTTGGAGTATATGACCGGCGCCGCTTTCTCATCGCTCTCATGTACAGTGCAAGCGCTCCGGCGCCAAGACACACACACACACATACACACACACACACACACACAAGCGCACTCCAGCGTAACACAGCTCTCTGCACAGGCTCCTCGCTCTTTACGACAGCTTGGGCCGCCACGTATTTGCGAAAGGCAGGAGCGATGCACGGGCTAGGCACAGGCGCTCTGCAAGCGAGTTAGCACCGCAGCTGTGTCTGTGCTGAGTGCTTGCAAGACGCTCAGGGACTGCGTCATCTCGGCTGCCTGCTGAGCGTAGGCTTTCACGACATCTGCGCGCAGCGACGCATAATCCATCTCCGGCACCGCAACCGCCGCTGCAGCACTGAACATCAGGAGCAGAGTAGGAAGCAAACAAGCAAACAAACGAGCCAAGTCCATCTCTGCAGCTGCTGTGAAGTGGCTCCCGCGCAAGACCAGTCGACTCGTCTCTACTTGTGCTCCACACTCACGCAGTCGTTATGCCCTCTGACTTTGTTCTACAAGCGATGCGCCATTGAACAAGACTCTGACACAGAACAGAGTCACGTGGACTGCCACCTTCATTAGAGGTTTGGGTTTATGTCACAGTACGGGCCAGTGACAAGGCCACACCTGACCTGGAAATGAGACGGGCTGCAAATGCTATAGAGCTGCAACAGAGAAACGAACCTACAAAACGGATCAATACCTCTCACATTCTTATGCAGTGCACGAAGTGGCGGTCTCCCCTTTTTCATTGGTCGGACATGACTGCCATCCCTGGCAGCAGAAACTCTTCCCCGGGCGGGCGGGTGGGAAAATCAAGAACACTATAGCACAGCAATTGTGCCAGCACCGGAGCTGCGCACTCAACACCGATACACAACATCCAAGCACTGCTGGCATCAACAAAACTGTACAGCACTGCGTGTACATGTGAGAGACGGGTGCATTGCCAAACCCGGCCGAACCGCTACACCCGACACGGCTTACGTCGGCACTACTGGCAGATAGCAGTAGCAACCCCCGCAGCAGTTGAACCAGCTCTCTACACGTCTTGGCCCTTGGCCGGCTTGCGCAAGAAGGCTGGCAGAGCAAGGATTTGAACTCTCAAGCAACGTCGTCTCAATCTCGTAATCTACTTAGCCTACTGACGCAGCATCATTGCCGCAGCCTCCTGGGGCACATTGCAGCTGAAGCCGGTGCTCTGCACGCGGGCACTTGCTTCGAGTTGCAGGGGATGACTAGAACCCAGCAGGACTAGACCTTGGAAGCAACAAGCTTGAGGGTGTCCGAAGACGCCGCAAGCACTGACGCGAGCGCTGCCCTGCCAGGACCAAACGTGTCAGCGACCTTGACCGGCAGCGACTCGTCGAGCGCTGCACGCCCAGCAGATGACCCGACTGCGCCGAACTGCACGAAGGCTGGCCAAGTCTTGCTTGCGACCAGGCTCACAGGCCTGCAAGACCCAAGCTTTGGAGCGAGATGCTGCAGGGACTCCACCAAACTTCGCTGCCTTGCCACGCTAGCACGCAACAGCATTCCCACCTCCTGCACCGCAAGCACAGCCGCAGGGTCATGCTCTGGAACTGCCACCTGGAAGAACTTGTCGCCACCTGTGCTGGAGGCATCATCGCAGTCAGCGGCTGCAACCTTCGATCCAGCCACCACCAAGCAAGTGTTGCCTTGCTTGACTTGCCCGTCCTGGCTGACTACCCAACTTCCTTGCCCTTCTCGGCATTCCACCAAAGACACCTTGCCGGCCACAACTCCCAAGCAACTTCCGCCCAACGTCTGTAGTTGCCCTTCCACACTGCTGGAGAACACCTCGGCACCTGTGCCAGCCACAATGGCATCGACGCAGGGCTTTGCTTCCACACCACCGCCAGCTGCGACAAGGCATTGCTCTTGGGCTGCTGGAGCACCGCTCACGAGCATGTAAGCGGATGGCCCCGACATCGCAACTGCATTGGACAGCCCGAAGTATCCCCAAGGCTTCGCGCCACGCATTAGCACTTTGACAGCTTTCGCAGTCACTGGCTCCGGGAACAAGACAGTGTCCTCGAAGCTGGGCTCCGATCTTGATAGCTTGCTCCAGCCGACACTCTCCTGAAAGTTGCCACCGTCTGCGCTAGTGAGAACCTTGATCTCTCCTGGAGCATAGCTCCATCGCAAAGTGAGGCCAAGTAGCTGTCTCCGTGATCTGAAGGTGCCAGTCCAGGACACGGTCTGGCCCGGCTCGTGGTTCCCCGCGCTGCACCAATACCCCGAAGACTCCGTGGTTGCAAGCTCGGCTCCGAAGGTCTTGGAAGAGTAGATGCTCGAGGCTGTAGCTGCATCGAAGGAAGCGAAACGCTGCGCAGCTGCAGGCAGCATCAAGGACAACAGAAGGCAAGGCTTCACCACTGCGGCCATAGCAGCCATAGCATTCACCACGCACAACATGCACACTTGCTACACAACTCGTTCTCACAGACCGAATGTCCGACGGTAACTGGACCCTGAAACTGCACGCCGCCGTCTTGCGGCGCACAACCTCCTGAGCGTCACGATACGGGGACACACGAACACACACACACACATACACACACACACACACAAGCGCACTCCAGCGTAACACAGCTCTCTGCACAGGCTCCTCGCTCTTTACGACAGCTTGGGCCGCCACGTATTTGCGAAAGGCAGGAGCGATGCACGGGCTAGGCACAGGCGCTCTGCAAGCGAGTTAGCACCGCAGCTGTGTCTGTGCTGAGTGCTTGCAAGACGCTCAGCGACTGCGTCATCTCGGCTGCCTGCTGAGCGTAGGCTTTCACGACATCTGCGCGCAGCGACGCATAATCCATCTCCGGCACCGCAACCGCCGCTGCAGCACTGAACATCAGGAGCAGAGTAGGAAGCAAACAAGCAAACAAACGAGCCAAGTCCATCTCTGCAGCTGCTGTGAAGTGGCTCCCGCGCAAGACCAGTCGACTCGTCTCTACTTGTGCTCCACACTCACGCAGTCGTTATGCCCTCTGACTTTGTTCTACAAGCGATGCGCCATTGAACAAGACTCTGACACAGAACAGAGTCACGTGGACTGCCACCTTCATTAGAGGTTTTATCACATTTGTCTAGGGGGAAGCAACGACCCAGGACTAACACGCCCATGTAATGCTACACAAGGCAACCTGCAGCGCTGGCACCGCACTGAGACATTTCAACCTCAACTCACAATCAAACGTGGACTTATCTGGCACCAGGCACACACCGTGCAAGGGCTCGCACACATACCCACATTCCCCCAGCAACGACTTCGGTTCGAACACTGCGCCCAAAGGTGGTCCGCAGAGCCCATCAAGTCAGAGAAAAAGGAGAGCGAATGTGCAGCAATTGGCACAAGCGCGGAAAGCCACACTCCTCATCACCAGGGTGGTGAATGGCACGGTCACCAAAGCTGCTATGGCACCAGGGCCTCAGAAGAAGTCGAGGCAGCAACTCAGTTCGCCGGAGGCCGCCATCAGCCAAAGCCAGCAGCAGCCCAAGCGCCACGGGGTTGCCGGAGTCGCCGTCCCCAGCAACATCAACCACGCAATTGCCTCGCCTCCCCCGCGGGACATGTCAGTCGGACAGGATTAAACTACCGCAAAACATCAAATGCACAGCAACGCAAGAGCACTCCTTTTCTTCACGAATGGGAATACATGGTAGCATGATGCAGCATAACATATGCTGCAGCACATTCACACAATGGCATACACTGCATACACTCACATACGCCAGAATCGCAACCCGCACATCAAAGCACGGGCGAATGCTAACACACAATGGCATACACATATTCCAGAATCGCAACCCGCACATCAAAGCACGGGCGAATGCTGCTAACACTCCCCTCAGAGCGTGTCGTTGGGCGGACTGGGCGAGGCACGAAAGAACTCAAGCCGCGCGCGCAAAACACAACTTTTTGATATACAACATCGGAACACTCCAGCAGCAGTTGACCTCCAGGTCGACCCACAACCAACACTTCTCTCTGCTGCACCTGCACGCGCAAGATGTGCTGGCTAGATCGTAAGGGATGTAAGGGTTTATGTCACAGTACGGGCCAGTGACAAGGCCACACCTGACCTGGAAATGAGACGGGCTGCAAATGCTATAGAGCTGCAACAGAGAAACGAACCTACAAAACGGATCAATACCTCACACGTTCTTATGCAGTGCACGAAGTGGCGGTCGGTCTCCCCTTTTTCATTGGTCGGACGTAGGTCTGTCAAAGTTGGCCAGAAGGTCCAACAAAGCTCGGTTCAACTCAACAGTGCCACTTTTGTGGAACACAAAACCAATGCAAGCCTGAAGCCCAAGCTGTACAAGCAGACTCAGATGAGCTCACGCCGAAGAGGCAGAACAGGATGTAGGTCGTGCCGAAGTCACCGAAGGACCGCGCCACGACACCAAGCATGACAAGCCATGTCTCTAGTCTCGACATGTACAAACTACCCACCCTCCAGCCCATAGACGCCGTGACACTTCTAAGACGCAAGTGCGCACACGCCCTTTTGTTCGTGGGATGCGCAAATGCCGACAGCCGATCTTTCCTGGCCTAGCAAGGAACTACAAACTTCCTGGAGGCGATTGGGGCGGCGGTGCGTTCAAAAGAAATCCTGCGGCTAACCTACCTGGATCTAGCACTATCTAGCTCTAAGCTCTGGGCAGCTGCCACTATACAAATGCTTCGCACACTTATGGTACATTATGACACGAGACGCTTCAGGTGCTGCGCTTCGCTCCGCACTGTCCAGCGAGGTCGTCCAGGAGCGAGAAGTAAACCCACAACACCGACAAATGACAGCCAGTCATCAAAGTTCACCCGATGGTGTGCCCAGGGTGTGCAAGTAGTCTCGGTAGGCCTTGGCGTGGTCGCGATGGCCTGCAAAGCCTGAGTTTCCCACTGTTGTGCATGACGTGCTCGTTGTGCATAGGCATGCCGGCGAGAGCCCGTCCAACGTCGTTCCATCGATGCCTGTGCCGCTTTGTCCGCAGCCTCATTGCACGGAGCTGCGTGACGCACAGGCCGCCATGAAGTGCCCAGGTGGGCTGTTTGCCATGGGACGGTGTCCAGACAAACTCGACTCAAGTTTTTCATTGGTCGGACATGACTGCCATCCCTGGCAGCAGAAACTCTTCCCCGGGCGGGCGGGTGGGAAAATCAAGAACACTATAGCACAGCAATTGTGCCAGCACCGGAGCTGTGCACTCAACACCGATACACAACATCCAAGCACTGCTGGCATCAACAAAACTGTACAGCACTGCGTGTACATGTGAGAGACGGGTGCATTGCCAAACCCGGCCGAACCGCTACACCCGACACGGCTTACGTCGGCACTACTGGCAGATAGCAGTAGCAACCCCCGCAGCAGTTGAACCAGCTCTCTACACGTCTTGGCCCTTGGCCGGCTTGCGCAAGAAGGCTGGCAGAGCAAGGATTTGAACTCTCAAGCAACGTCGTCTCAATCTCGTAATCTACTTAGCCTACTGACGCAGCATCATTGCCGCAGCCTCCTGGGGCACATTGCAGCTGAAGCCGGTGCTCTGCACGCGGGCACTTGCTTCGAGTTGCAGGGGATGACTAGAACCCAGCAGGACTAGACCTTGGAAGCAACAAGCTTGAGGGTGTCCGAAGACGCCGCAAGCACTGACGCGAGCGCTGCCCTGCCAGGACCAAACGTGTCAGCGACCTTGACCGGCAGCGACTCGTCGAGCGCTGCACGCCCAGCAGATGACCCGACTGTGCCGAACTGCACGAAGGCTGGCCAAGTCTTGCTTGCGACCAGGCTCACAGGCCTGCAAGACCCAAGCTTTGGAGCGAGATGCTGCAGGGACTCCACCAAACTTCGCTGCCTTGCCACGCTAGCACGCAACAGCATTCCCACCTCCTGCACCGCAAGCACAGCCGCAGGGTCATGCTCTGGAACTGCCACCTGGAAGAACTTGTCGCCACCTGTGCTGGAGGCATCATCGCAGTCAGCGGCTGCAACCTTCGATCCAGCCACCACCAAGCAAGTGTTGCCTTGCTTGACTTGCCCGTCCTGGCTGACTACCCAACTTCCTTGCCCTTCTCGGCATTCCACCAAAGACACCTTGCCGGCCACAACTCCCAAGCAACTTCCGCCCAACGTCTGTAGTTGCCCTTCCACACTGCTGGAGAACACCTCGGCACCTGTGCCAGCCACAATGGCATCGACGCAGGGCTTTGCTTCCACACCACCGCCAGCTGCGACAAGGCATTGCTCTTGGGCTGCTGGAGCACCGCTCACGAGCATGTAAGCGGATGGCCCCGACATCGCAACTGCATTGGACAGCCCGAAGTATCCCCAAGGCTTCGCGCCACGCATTAGCACTTTGACAGCTTTCGCAGTCACTGGCTCCGGGAACAAGACAGTGTCCTCGAAGCTGGGCTCCGATCTTGATAGCTTGCTCCAGCCGACACTCTCCTGAAAGTTGCCACCGTCTGCGCTAGTGAGAACCTTGATCTCTCCTGGAGCATAGCTCCATCGCAAAGTGAGGCCAAGTAGCTGTCTCCGTGATCTGAAGGTGCCAGTCCAGGACACGGTCTGGCCCGGCTCGTGGTTCCCCGCGCTGCACCAATACCCCGAAGACTCCGTGGTTGCAAGCTCGGCTCCGAAGGTCTTGGAAGAGTAGATGCTCGAGGCTGTAGCTGCATCGAAGGAAGCGAAACGCTGCGCAGCTGCAGGCAGCATCAAGGACAACAGAAGGCAAGGCTTCACCACTGCGGCCATAGCAGCCATAGCATTCACCACGCACAACATGCACACTTGCTACACAACTCGTTCTCACAGACCGAATGTCCGACGGTAACTGGACCCTGAAACTGCACGCCGCCGTCTTGCGGCGCACAACCTCCTGAGCGTCACCATACGGGGACACACGAACACACACACACACACACACACATACACACACACACACACACACACACAAGCGCACTCCAGCGTAACACAGCTCTCTGCACAGGCTCCTCGCTCTTTACGACAGCTTGGGCCGCCACGTATTTGCGAAAGGCAGGAGCGATGCACGGGCTAGGCACAGGCGCTCTGCAAGCGAGTTAGCACCGCAGCTGTGTCTGTGCTGAGTGCTTGCAAGACGCTCAGCGACTGCGTCATCTCGGCTGCCTGCTGAGCGTAGGCTTTCACGACATCTGCGCGCAGCGACGCATAATCCATCTCCGGCACCGCAACCGCCGCTGCAGCACTGAACATCAGGAGCAGAGTAGGAAGCAAACAAGCAAACAAACGAGCCAAGTCCATCTCTGCAGCTGCTGTGAAGTGGCTCCCGCGCAAGACCAGTCGACTCGTCTCTACTTGTGCTCCACACTCACGCAGTCGTTATGCCCTCTGACTTTGTTCTACAAGCGATGCGCCATTGAACAAGACTCTGACACAGAACAGAGTCACGTGGACTGCCACCTTCATTAGAGGTTTTATCACATTTGTCTAGGGGGAAGCAACGACCCAGGACTAACACGCCCATGTAATGCTACACAAGGCAACCTGCAGCGCTGGCACCGCACTGAGACATTTCAACCTCAATTCACAATCAAACGTGGACTTATCTGGCACCAGGCACACACCGTGCAAGGGCTCGCACACATACCCACATTCCCCCAGCAACGACTTCGGTTCGAACACTGCGCCCAAAGGTGGTCCGCAGAGCCCATCAAGTCAGAGAAAAAGGAGAGCGAATGTGCAGCAATTGGCACAAGCGCGGAAAGCCACACTCCTCATCACCAGGGTGGTGAATGGCACGGTCACCAAAGCTGCTATGGCACCAGGGCCTCAGAAGAAGTCGAGGCAGTAACTCAGTTCGCCGGAGGCCGCCATCAGCCAAAGCCAGCAGCAGCCCAAGCGCCACGGGGTTGCCGGAGTCGCCGTCCCCAGCAACATCAACCACGCAATTGCCTCGCCTCCCCTGCGGGACATGTCAGTCGGACAGGATTAAACTACCGCAAAACATCAAATGCACAGCAACGCAAGAGCACTCCTTTTCTTCACGAATGGGAATACATGGTAGCATGATGCAGCATAACATATGCTGCAGCACATTCACACAATGGCATACACTGCATACACTCACATACGCCAGAATCGCAACCCGCACATCAAAGCACGGGCGAATGCTAACACAATATGGCATACACATATTCCAGAATCGCAACCCGCACATCAAAGCACGGGCGAATGCTGCTAACACTCCCCTCAGAGCGTGTCGTTGGGCGGACTGGGCGAGGCACGAAAGAACTCAAGCCGCGCGTGCAAAACACAACTTTTTGATATACAACATCGGAACACTCCAGCAGCAGTTGACCTCCAGGTCGACCCACAACCAACACTTCTCTCTGCTGCACCTGCACGCGCAAGATGTGCTGGCTAGATCGTAAGGGATGTAAGGGTTTATGTCACAGTACGGGCCAGTGACAAGGCCACACCTGACCTGGAAATGAGACGGGCTGCAAATGCTATAGAGCTGCAACAGAGAAACGAACCTACAAAACGGATCAATACCTCACACGTTCTTATGCAGTGCACGAAGTGGCGGTCGGTCTCCCCTTTTTCATTGGTCGGACGTAGGTCTGTCAAAGTTGGCCAGAAGGTCCAACAAAGCTCGGTTCAACTCAACAGTGCCACTTTTGTGGAACACAAAACCAATGCAAGCCTGAAGCCCAAGCTGTACAAGCAGACTCAGATGAGCTCACGCCGAAGAGGCAGAACAGGATGTAGGTCGTGCCGAAGTCACCGAAGGACCGCGCCACGACACCAAGCATGACAAGCCATGTCTCTAGTCTCGACATGTACAAACTACCCACCCTCCAGCCCATAGACGCCGTGACACTTCTAAGACGCAAGTGCGCACACGCCCTTTTGTTCGTGGGATGCGCAAATGCCGACAGCCGATCTTTCCTGGCCTAGCAAGGAACTACAAACTTCCTGGAGGCGATTGGGGCGGCGGTGCGTTCAAAAGAAATCCTGCGGCTAACCTACCTGGATCTAGCACTATCTAGCTCTAAGCTCTGGGCAGCTGCCACTATACAAATGCTTCGCACACTTATGGTACATTATGACACGAGACGCTTCAGGTGCTGCGCTTCGCTCCGCACTGTCCAGCGAGGTCGTCCAGGAGCGAGAAGTAAACCCACAACACCGACAAATGACAGCCAGTCATCAAAGTTCACCCGATGGTGTGCCCAGGGTGTGCAAGTAGTCTCGGTAGGCCTTGGCGTGGTCGCGATGGCCTGCAAAGCCTGAGTTTCCCACTGTTGTGCATGACGTGCTCGTTGTGCATAGGCATGCCGGCGAGAGCCCGTCCAACGTCGTTCCATCGATGCCTGTGCCGCTTTGTCCGCAGCCTCATTGCACGGAGCTGCGTGACGCACAGGCCGCCATGAAGTGCCCAGGTGGGCTGTTTGCCATGGGACGGTGTCCAGACAAACTCGACTCAAGTTTTTCATTGGTCGGACATGACTGCCATCCCTGGCAGCAGAAACTCTTCCCCGGGCGGGCGGGTGGGAAAATCAAGAACACTATAGCACAGCAATTGTGCCAGCACCGGAGCTGTGCACTCAACACCGATACACAACATCCAAGCACTGCTGGCATCAACAAAACTGTACAGCACTGCGTGTACATGTGAGAGACGGGTGCATTGCCAAACCCGGCCGAACCGCTACACCCGACACGGCTTACGTCGGCACTACTGGCAGATAGCAGTAGCAACCCCCGCAGCAGTTGAACCAGCTCTCTACACGTCTTGGCCCTTGGCCGGCTTGCGCAAGAAGGCTGGCAGAGCAAGGATTTGAACTCTCAAGCAACGTCGTCTCAATCTCGGTAATCTACTTAGCCTACTGACGCAGCATCATTGCCGCAGCCTCCTGGGGCACATTGCAGCTGAAGCCGGTGCTCTGCACGCGGGCACTTGCTTCGAGTTGCAGGGGATGACGAGAACCCAGCAGGACTAGACCTTGGAAGCAACAAGCTTGAGGGTGTCCGAAGACGCCGCAAGCACTGACGCGAGCGCTGCCCTGCCAGGACCAAACGTGTCAGCGACCTTGACCGGCAGCGACTCGTCGAGCGCTGCACGCCCAGCAGATGACCCGACTGTGCCGAACTGCACGAAGGCTGGCCAAGTCTTGCTTGCGACCAGGCTCACAGGCCTGCAAGACCCAAGCTTTGGAGCGAGATGCTGCAGGGACTCCACCAAACTTCGCTGCCTTGCCACGCTAGCACGCAACAGCATTCCCACCTCCTGCACCGCAAGCACAGCCGCAGGGTCATGCTCTGGAACTGCCACCTGGAAGAACTTGTCGCCACCTGTGCTGGAGGCATCATCGCAGTCAGCGGCTGCAACCTTCGATCCAGCCACCACCAAGCAAGTGTTGCCTTGCTTGACTTGCCCGTCCTGGCTGACTACCCAACTTCCTTGCCCTTCTCGGCATTCCACCAAAGACACCTTGCCGGCCACAACTCCCAAGCAACTTCCGCCCAACGTCTGTAGTTGCCCTTCCACACTGCTGGAGAACACCTCGGCACCTGTGCCAGCCACAATGGCATCGACGCAGGGCTTTGCTTCCACACCACCGCCAGCTGCGACAAGGCATTGCTCTTGGGCTGCTGGAGCACCGCTCACGAGCATGTAAGCGGATGGCCCCGACATCGCAACTGCATTGGACAGCCCGAAGTATCCCCAAGGCTTCGCGCCACGCATTAGCACTTTGACAGCTTTCGCAGTCACTGGCTCCGGGAACAAGACAGTGTCCTCGAAGCTGGGCTCCGATCTTGATAGCTTGCTCCAGCCGACACTCTCCTGAAAGTTGCCACCGTCTGCGCTAGTGAGAACCTTGATCTCTCCTGGAGCATAGCTCCATCGCAAAGTGAGGCCAAGTAGCTGTCTCCGTGATCTGAAGGTGCCAGTCCAGGACACGGTCTGGCCCGGCTCGTGGTTCCCCGCGCTGCACCAATACCCCGAAGACTCCGTGGTTGCAAGCTCGGCTCCGAAGGTCTTGGAAGAGTAGATGCTCGAGGCTGTAGCTGCATCGAAGGAAGCGAAACGCTGCGCAGCTGCAGGCAGCATCAAGGACAACAGAAGGCAAGGCTTCACCACTGCGGCCATAGCAGCCATAGCATTCACCACGCACAACATGCACACTTGCTACACAACTCGTTCTCACAGACCGAATGTCCGACGGTAACTGGACCCTGAAACTGCACGCCGCCGTCTTGCGGCGCACAACCTCCTGAGCGTCACGATACGGGGACACACGAACACACACACACACATACACACACACACACACAAGCGCACTCCAGCGTAACACAGCTCTCTGCACAGGCTCCTCGCTCTTTACGACAGCTTGGGCCGCCACGTATTTGCGAAAGGCAGGAGCGATGCACGGGCTAGGCACAGGCGCTCTGCAAGCGAGTTAGCACCGCAGCTGTGTCTGTGCTGAGTGCTTGCAAGACGCTCAGCGACTGCGTCATCTCGGCTGCCTGCTGAGCGTAGGCTTTCACGACATCTGCGCGCAGCGACGCATAATCCATCTCCGGCACCGCAACCGCCGCTGCAGCACTGAACATCAGGAGCAGAGTAGGAAGCAAACAAGCAAACAAACGAGCCAAGTCCATCTCTGCAGCTGCTGTGAAGTGGCTCCCGCGCAAGACCAGTCGACTCGTCTCTACTTGTGCTCCACACTCACGCAGTCGTTATGCCCTCTGACTTTGTTCTACAAGCGATGCGCCATTGAACAAGACTCTGACACAGAACAGAGTCACGTGGACTGCCACCTTCATTAGAGGTTTTATCACATTTGTCTAGGGGGAAGCAACGACCCAGGACTAACACGCCCATGTAATGCTACACAAGGCAACCTGCAGCGCTGGCACCGCACTGAGACATTTCAACCTCAATTCACAATCAAACGTGGACTTATCTGGCACCAGGCACACACCGTGCAAGGGCTCGCACACATACCCACATTCCCCCAGCAACGACTTCGGTTCGAACACTGCGCCCAAAGGTGGTCCGCAGAGCCCATCAAGTCAGAGAAAAAGGAGAGCGAATGTGCAGCAATTGGCACAAGCGCGGAAAGCCACACTCCTCATCACCAGGGTGGTGAATGGCACGGTCACCAAAGCTGCTATGGCACCAGGGCCTCAGAAGAAGTCGAGGCAGCAACTCAGTTCGCCGGAGGCCGCCATCAGCCAAAGCCAGCAGCAGCCCAAGCGCCACGGGGTTGCCGGAGTCGCCGTCCCCAGCA